CATAATTTTTAGGCATTTACCACTCTATATACAGTGGAGACTCTGTCTAACACAGTGCAAGTCTGTAGATTTCCCTTAAATTTATTATTTTATTGCTTGAACTTATTACTATTAACTAGCTGATGTTATAAAAAATATTTAATGGTGTTACTAACATACATAGATAAAAATAATTACTGAAAAAGCAGAAGCATTCAGAATGCATTGGCAAATTTACAACAGTTAATGAGAATACATTCATTCATGTAAACTTTTCTTTTTAAGCACGGACTATGAAGCTAAATGTTAAGAATTTATAAGTATTTATTATCTTAATAATTAATCGAATAATCCTAAGAAATAGTCTGTTGGTATACGTAAGTATTTATTTAATAAGAAAATGTTGTCACTTTTCATTTGGGAACACCAAGACAATTGAGACTGTTCATTAGAACTGACATTTCTCACTTCCTCCATCAAGCTTAATTACTTACACACAGAGACACAAACAGACACACACATACACACACACAAAATTACTTTCAAGGCCCGCTGATTTGGTCCATTCATCCAAGCTGGTTTTCCTCTGATCCTCAGGAGCAGCAGAAAGGTAAGTAATAAATGCAGCTGCTAACTGAGCTCTTTTAGGCAACGTAGCCAGTTCATCTGTTATCTCTGACACCTTTAAAAAAAAAAAAAAGTACAGAATGTACAGGTGTATTGCAAACAAAAACTATGTTAATATTTCTCATCAGTTACTAAAAAGTTGGAATTAAATTTGCCTGCCATTGAGAATACAGTTGAGACAGTCTCTCTTCTTGCATTTCAGGTATCTATACCCAGCTAACCCACAGCAACACATACAGGAAAGTATGGGAAAAGTTCTTTTTAGCTCTGGGCTAGAGCATGGACAGATGTTTCTGAGAATTTAGCTACTAAAAATCTATGAATGTGATGAACAGTTCACGTTGTCACTTACAAGCAACTGTGTAAACAGTATTATAGTAAGAAAAATAAGAAATATGTGACCCCAGTCACAGTCAGCCAGTGAGTGCCACTTACAATATGTATACAGATACTAAATACTATATGTATCTATTACACTTAAAAATGTGATTCACTGCAGACTTACATGATAAAATACATTCATCACGTATCTTCAAATAATTTATCTGCACTACATCACCTCTGTTTTGAAATGTTCCAGTATTTTGGAGAAAAATACAGTGTATCAAAATAATATATGACTGCCACAATTGGTTTGAAAGTACTGTCACTTTTTTACTTTAATCAAACTGACATTAAAAAAAAAAGTTGATACACAAACAAAAAAAAACCTTTTTATTACTTCCTCCTTACTTTAAAGGGAGATGAATACTGCTTTTTCACCGTCCTCAGTATGGGATGAGCTCCTGACTAATATATCTGCCAGTTTGGTCTATAGCTACCATTAACAGATAGTCTGAACTTTCTAAAGACAGGGGTGATGTACCAGAGTGAAAAACTGTGAGGAATCACTTTTAGAAGCATTTAAACTCTGGGGTTCAGATATACCCAATCCTTACTATAGCAGAAGGAATAGCTGTAAAGCTACTTTCAGAGGAAAATCTTCCATTTCTTTCCATTACGCTGGTCAACCTACAAGAAGGATTCAACTAACCCTAACTGTGGTTTTTCAAAATACAGGCATTTAGTCTAACTAACTGTTTAGGCTTTTTTCAGTGTCAATGGAGAGACAGGACCATGTCTCTCAGCA